GTAAAATTTGAAGATAACAGAATGAATTTGAAGATAACAGAATCTAAATTTCCACCCTTTGTGGGGGAAGTACCAGAAGAAATGGTCCGACCTCTTCCATATTTATAACATACCTTGCGTTGATAGAAATATTGAGATTTGCAAGTCAATGGAATCAGATGTAAATTTTGCATTTAGGAGCTTCATGGATATTCAATATTTTGACCCTTTTTGTGGTAAGTACCAGAAGGAATGGACCGATTTATTCCAACTTCACAGCAGATCTTGTGTTAGGGGAAATAATGGGATGAGTGAAATATAAAGAGAACCGGATGCTTATTTTGCGTTTTATGACCTGCTTTGATATTCAAATTTTTGTAGGGGAGGTACCAGAAAGAATGGTCCGACCTCTGCCGTTTTAATAACAGATCCTGTGTTGATGGTTGAAGTCTAAATGGAATCGGATTTTTATTTCACGTTTTATGGGCTTAAGGTGTATTAAAAATTTTGACCTTTTGTGGGTTCCTCTCCCACAAAAGGAGTGGATATATTCCATCTTAACACCAGTTCTTGAGTTTATAGACTCGTACATCACAGTGTAGTAATAATTCAAAATTTTGACCCTTTGTGGAGAAGCACTTGATGGAGTAGAAAGATATTATCCATTTTTGAACCTGACCGAGAAATAAGGCAATTATTAGGATTTGCAAAGTTGGAGCAAAATCGGATTATTACTTTTCTTTCTGTGCAGAAAATATTTTTGTTTTTAAAAATTATCGGATTATCGTTTCTATTACTGTTCAAAAAATATATTTTTTGAAAATGTCGATCTTTTGTGGTGGAGGTACCAGACGGAGTAGACCGATATTGCCCATCTTCGAACTCGATCTAAGTTTGACAAAAATATTATGATGTACCAAGATTGGACCTCAGTCAATGTTCGATTATTATACCCTACACCACAAGGTGGTCAGGGTATTATGTCTTTGTGCATTTGTTTGTAACAGGTAAAAGGAAACGAGATAGACCCATAGTTCCTTTTGATGATCTGCATAGAATCACATTCTGAGTCGAATTACGCATGTCCGTCCTTCCGTCCGTCTGTCTATGTATTTTTGTAAACAAAGTACAGTTCGCATTTATTTCCCTATCCAGATGAAATTTTGCACATATCATTTTTTTGGCCCAAGGACGAACCCTATTGAAATTGGAGATAATCGGTCAAAATTTAGATATAGCTCCCATATATATCTTCGTCCGATTTGCCCTTTTTTGTGCACCAAACGTCTAATATTTGCCCAAATAGTATGGAATTTTGCACATACAACCAAATTAGGCCTGAAAATAAGTATGCCAAATTTAATCGAAATCGGTTCAGATACAGCTGTAGCTCCCATATATATTGTTCATCCGATTTGTTATTTTTGTCCTCCGCAGCCGTAATATGCATTCTGTAACAACAATATTTGGGGAAATATATCAAATGCAGCTCAGAAATACCTTTGTTAAATTTTATCGAGATCACTTCAGATTTGGATATAGCTCCCATATATAACTTCGTCCGATTTACCCTTTTCTGTGCACCAAACGTCTAATATTTGTCCAAATGGGATGGAATTTGGCACTTACGACCGAATTGAGTCTAGAAGCTAGTATGTCAAATTTGGTGAAGATCGGTTCAGATATAGCTATAGCTCCCATATATAATGTTCATCCGATTTGTTATATTTGTTACCCACAGCCGTAATATGCACTCCGTAACAACGATTTTCAGGGAAATATATCAAATACCACTCAGAAATATCTTTGCCAAATTTTATCGAGATCGGTTCCGATTTGGATATAGCTCCCATATATATCTTTATCCGATTTCAAATTAATTGTGCACCAAATGGGCAATACAAGTCCGAATTTAAAAGATACAAATGCTTCGGCATATTTAGTCCTTTGAACTTTAAATTATAGCTATAATCATAGCGTGTATGATTGAATTCTCCAATAAAAACTTTTAATTGTTATGTGGAGCTCTACTAAATTAGCAAAGTGGTGTAGGGTATCATAAAGTCTGCCCCGCCCGTCTTTAAGACTTTCTTTACTGGTTTTTGAATATATTTTGACTTTTGTTATGATTATTCAAATTGTTGACCCTCTGAAGGAATGGGTCAATATTATCCATTTGTCAGATTTGGACTATATCGACTACTTACTTCGCTTTGTATAAAATATGTGAGAATTTTTAGAAAATGTTAAAATGTGCGGAGGTACCAGATATTGTCGACCGAAGTATTCCATATTCATCTCAGGTTATAGGTCGAGAGAAATATAACAAATTTAGTAACATTTAGTACGCATATCCAAAACAATTTACATCTCTCCATCCTTGACACAAACAGTGATCCAAAATTTGTACTATTTAATATTTGTCGGACAATTATAGTATGCATTAGCAAAGCCACCACCAGATTTCAACACGAAATACAAACAGAGACTTCAATATCAAATTTCGGATTCCAGCTCTATACATTCACTCAATAGTAAACCAAAACCGCCTGTATATGTCAATACCAGATACCAACAGAGACCTCAATGTCAAATTTCAGCGTTTCCGTTCTATTCCTTCATCTAATACCAAATCTAGTACTATTTAGTACTTTCCGTACAATTATGTATGTAATATGTACTATATATTTCTAAAACCACCTTCGTTCATCAATTTCAGATACTAACAGAGATCTCAATATAATTTTAAGGATGTCAGCCCTATCCCCTCACCCAATACAATTACAGTACCCATTTCAAAAACCACCTCCATATTCTAATCACAGATACCAACAGAGACCTTAGTATCAAATTTGAGGATTCCAGCCCTATCCCTTTACCCAATGCCAAATTTAGTACTATTTAGTATTTTTCGTACAAATATGGTACAGAATTCTAGAACCACCTCCTTACTTCAAATTTCAGAATTCCAGCCCTATCCCTTCACCCAATACCAAATTTAGTACCATTTAGTACTTTCCAAACAACCGGGATTTTGGGATTCTAGTTCTATCCCTTTACCGAATACCCAAATATATTACTATATACTACTTTTCGTACAATTATAGTACATATTTCTAAAACCACATGCATATCTCAATTCCAGATACTGACAGAGATATGAATATCAAATTTCAGGATTCCAGCCCCATCCCTTATCCCAATATCAAATTTAGTACCATTTACTACTTTTTGTAGAAATGTAGGACTCATTTCTAAACCAACGTCAAATTTCAAATGCAGATTCCATGAGTAATCTAAATATTAGATTTCGGGATTCCAGCTCTATCCCTTTACTTCTAACCTAATATAGTTCCATTTAGTATATTTGTACATTTATAGTACACATTTACAAAACCACCTCCATATGTCCTGGACACATGAACAGCTACCATAATACCAAATTTCAAGCGCTATATGTTGACACAATAGCAAATTGTACCAAATAAGGTACTATTTAGTACTTTTCGTGCCCTTGTAGTACACATTTACATCTATTAAAAAAATTCAAAATGCCAGTTTTATCCGTTTACCCTTTACCAAACTGTTCCAAATCTAGTACCATTTCGCACACCTAGTACATATTTCCAAAACCACAACCTAGTACATATTTCCAAACTTACTTTCCAACATCGACTCTCATATCAAATTTCAAGTCTTTAAATGTATGCTTTCACATAATACCAAAATAGTACAGTTTTAGAAATACAGTACCATTTTGGAATTTTTTGTTCTCATTCGAATTTCTAAAATCCCTTTAATACATCTACTCTACACTCCATCACTAACGCCAAATATTCAAAAATTTTAATTAATTTTTAGTACTTTTCGTACCCTTTTAGTACGAATTTCTAAAACGACTACGCACTAAGACGGATCCTCGTGCAAAATTTCAAGATTCCAGCTTCACCCGTTTGGTCTGAACGTTGACTCTAGATCAGTCAGTTATAGCACGGAATGTTAATGTCTCAATACAAAACCTAAGGTCGCCCATTCGATTCCCATACCAATGGGCCTCAACGAGATAATGGTTTAAGAAGCTAGGTCTCTTTGAATGAAATCCATTTCAGGACATTTGGAATCGATCCACAGATGTCCGTCCTTTGGTCTCTTTTCAGCATTCTTATATTTCTATTAACATCGGGCGACTCCCTAATAAAAAAGTAATTTAGACCAAAGCCAGGTGCAAAAAAGTGTCAATATTGCGCCACTCACCTCATACGTAACAAATTTTTTAATAGTCGTAATGCCAGCCCGAATATGTTCATTGTCTGCAAAACCTATCGATACGTACTAACTTGTTACTTGTTTGATTGGTCCAAAGTACATTAAGACAAGACTGACCAACTCATTCTTTGCGACAAACATAAGAACAATAATCTTAAAGAAAAATAGAAACAGACACATAAATAAAAGAAAAATAGTTTTTGGAGAGTTTAAACGTTAGCTACTATTTCTGTTCTACTCATCTGCCGCAAATGGTCCATGAAGAGAGGCTTGAATTCAGATTCTCATGAGTGGGAAAAGTGTTATACCAAAAATGAATTTCTCTTCATTACATTGAGCAAATTAAGCTCATTTTAAGTTTCCGTCAAGAAATGCTTTTGAGAGTAAGATTTTTGAGCTTCTCATGGGTGTTGAGTTATGTTGTTGCTGTTATTTTATGGACAAAGCAAGCAAAGCAAGCTGTTGCTTTATTCAAGCATTCAAAAATAGCATCAACAACATTTTGATTAAATTTCACAGCAGCTTAATACCACTCTCTCTCTCTCTCATTCTCTGTTACGCACACACACATACACTTTTAGGTGTTGTGATTAACATCATTTGTTCAGCATTTAGCTCAGCTTTTTTGGTTTGAAGTTGGGTTTTATGGTAACCGAACCAGGCCTGAATGCAATTTTACACTCAGAATTTTGACAAAACTTGGCTCAAACCGAACTGCGGCTGTGTGGGCCCATATAAAAGTAAAGCAACAAAGCAAAATGAAACGTATTACTGTGATTTTGATGTGAACGGAAACGTTGTGTTTTGTCTTCCTGGTCTGGTGGTCTGTGGAACACTCTGAACGAAAAAAAAACATTGAAAAACAACGGTTTTTAATAATAAAAATTATTTTAAAATAAAAAATAAATTTTTTGGATATTTTGGGCTTGGACACAAAAAAAGCTTTAAACACAGTACCAAACAAGAAAAGCCACAGGAAAAACAAAAGAAAAGTATTGAAGAAAAATTAAAAATACAAAAGAGTAAAAATTGAAAAAAGATAACCTACAAAATATCCTGAATTAAAAAGCCACGCAATAAAAAAGGATTATTTCTTTGTGTTCAAAAAATCAAAAACAAGAAAACAACAAAAAATAGTGTTATAATTTTTTTGTGCAGAAAAATTAAACAACAAGTGATTTTTTGTGGAAACCAAAAAATTTGTGAAAGCTGTGAACTCGGAAAGAAAAAATTCAAAACTGAAACTTTGCTGATATCAACCCAAAGGAGAGAGTTTTTGAAACGTTTTACATAAAACGTAATTTAATCGTATTTTTTAGTGTTTTATAAAACAAAAAACCTTTACAAAATGGTAAGTCCAAAAATTGAAAAGTAAAAAAAAATATTTTTAAATTGTCTGCAATGAGAAAAAGTGTTAATTAAAGTGTTTGGGTTTTCATCCATCATTAAGTTTAACAAATTTCGAATTTGTTTTTTTCTACATCTGTTGTTGGAAAGAAAAAAAAAATGAGAAAACAACAAACAATTTCATCAAAGTATGTTCTGGAAAAAAAGTTTGCCACGTTTTTTTTTCACGTGAAAGCAAAATTTTATAACTAAAACTTCAAAGTGCAAAATTTGGAAAAATAACTTTTTTTTAAAAAAGGATATTTTTCTTTGTAAAAAAAATAATAAAAATAACCAGAAATAATGGTACCACGGAATGCTTTGGTATAGAAGTGTAAAGAAAAAATGCAAAATTAAAAAAAAAAATAAAATTTAAAGGACATTTTTTCTGGAAAATAACCAGAAATAATGGAATTATGGAATAATTAGCAATGGAATTGTGAAGAGTGAAAATTTTTGAAAACATATTTCAAGGATCTGTTTTGGAAGATAGAAAACATATTAAAAGGATCTGTTTCGGGAGATAGAATTTAAGAAGAAGGATACAATTTTGAAAAAACAAAACAAGTTTTGAAGGATATTTTTTTTGCGAAAAAATTAAGAATGACCAATATAATGGAATAATTGGGATAGAGATGAAAAAATTGGAAAAATAAAGGATTTTTTTTAACGAAGTTAGGAATTATTAGAAATATGAAATGAAAATTTTTTGAAAAAAAAAAGAAAATCCATACGTATCATTTATATTTCCAGAATGTCCTTCCCGAGAGAAAATTTCGATAATAAGGATTTAAAAAATTATTAGAGACCCCTGGGTCTGGATTCGTGTTCTATGAAAATATAAAATGAAAAATATTTTCTTTAAAAAAATTTTCATTTTTTAATCTTTTCAGTTCTCATTTTCATAGATATTCCTGGAAAATTAAGATCGACCTCTTTTATTTTTTCTTCAAGTGAATTAATAAAATATACATCATATATGGGTCATTCCATTGCATTATCCATGGGGCTTTAAGTAATATTTTTAATTTTTGTTTTTTTAATAAATATCTAATTTTAGAATAATTTATAATAAAAAAATGCTGAGATATAGACCAAATTTATATTCGCATAAAAATTTTCTCATCGAATCGACAAATGTTTGATGTGAATGTAGTTCGAAACATTTTTATTGTTATTCAAGAATTTCGTTTTTACTTCGTAACAGTTCTTATTCGAGAACTTCAGTTGCAATTTTTTAATAGACAATTCTTGAAAACGTTTCATTTGAAATTCCCAATTTTTCCTATTTGAAATCCGATATGTCAAACTTAAAATTCGAAACAAAAAAATTCATTTTTTTCTTTTACGCATTTTATAAATAAAATTATTCGGATTATAAGTGCAATTGGAATTACGATTATAATAAAATTGTCGAATTACATTCAAAATGTTTCGAATTATAAATGAGACCGTTTTTACGCAATATTCAGATGTAAATCGAAACATCTCAGTTGTAATTTCAGAATTTCATTTTTAATCCGTCAGTCGTCAGTTCATTCGATTTCGAAACAATATATTGAAATTTTTTTACATTGGCTAAATCTTAGAAATATAAATAAAATGATATAAATTACAAGTTCAATAATAATTGTAAATGGATTTCTCGAATTACAATTGAAATATTTTGGATTAATCTGGAATTCTCGGATTACAAATTAAATGTTACGAATTAAGAATCTATATGATGGTGAACAAAAAAATATATAATAATATAATATATAATTTTGAGACGCATACCAATATCCCAAAGTAGAAAAATAAAAAATTTTTTAGAACTAGACTCTCTGGACTAGAAACACGATTTGCATACCTTATAAGGGCAAAATATATGTATATAAAATATAATATATAAGTCAACAACAGAATATTGGTCAATCTAGCCTTCTCTTTGTATGTCTGGATAACCCTCCATATGTAGGATGTTCCAAAATTTGGATTTGCATATTTATACAAAACTTAGATCGATTGTTAATATCGATCTGTCCCTTCTGGTACCTACCTCATAAAGGGTAAAAAAGCATTGATCAAAAACATAGTAAGGTCAATTTTGAATTTCTCTACATCGTCTCTTTACTTCTGGTATCTCTTTCTACCACCTAATATATCAATCTCAAACTTCTTCCGATACCTCGTCATTAAATGTCAAAATTTCTTAAAACTTTTAGTAATAATCAGAATCGTATCTGATGTGGATATAACTTCACACATCGTAATTACTATTTTACTACTTTCACTACCGAAAAGCATTGGCAACTCTCCCGTGTAGACCCACTTTTCTAAAAATATTATTTATTTACCGAAGGGTGTCCTCGATTTTTTTTGACATTTTAGAACACTTAACGGTACATCCTAACTTTCGGCATTTTGAAGATTACTCTTTCAATTTTGCCGTATTATGACATTTTGGTTCACAATGGATTTTTACATCCGTATTTACTATCGTTTTGACTTATTAAGTCTAGAGAACTCTATCCCAAAATACTTGACAAGGGTTTCCAATTTTTTTTTCTCAATCTGGAATAGTTTTCAAAGTATAACAATAATTTTAATTTGAAATTATTTGTCCGATCTTTTGATCCTCCTTCTGTCTTTTTTGTCCCTGAAAAATAAACATAAGCTTTTGTCGCTGTTTGCCACTTTTCCACATGATAAATTAAAGAAATTAATTCAAATTAAGTATTAATATTTTTCTAACCGTATTCTTTTGAAACATATGTATCTTTTTGAAAATCTTTAACTTCCATAAAAACAGTAAAATATGTAATGTTATTTTTTTTATGTTTGTGAACATTTAATACTATAGTCAATAATTTCTTAAAAATTGTAAACATTATGTCAATCTTTAAAATCAAAAAATGCCCTTTACATGTTGTAAACATCATGAATCATCTCAACAGATTTATAGATGAAGAAAAAACAGTGACAACATACCATTCTACATCACTTCAAGTTCATCAAAATGTCATTGACGCTGTCGATATATAAAATAAAAAAAAAAACAACAACAAAAACAATTTATACAACCTAAAAAAAGTTAATAATTCTTGCAATTCACATTTACTAGAAACAAATAACAACAAACAAAATGAAAGTATTTTCAAGGTGTTACACCAGTACGACACAGTAGCACAAAAATGTTGAGATTGCAGATTCAACACTTCGAAACGAATCAAATGGGCGAAATTCCGCAAAGAATACGAAATGTTTCTAATTGTGCTAATGAAAAAATTTCACACATTTTCATTGTCCACAGGGCATAATGTTTATGTTTAGATTTTTACAGAATATTCGATGAGATGATATTGATTCGAGAGATGCGGATGTGTATAGACATACATACATATTCATGTTGGACCGAATGTTGGTCATATGTTCTTAAAAAAGTATGAAATGGGGTTTATGCAATTGAGAAAGTAACAATCATTTTACCCGGGTGAATAAAATTAATTTTCACGTTTTTGTTTTCCGTTGTAGTTGAAAATTTTTGAGAGATTATCCATTTGCGTATAGTAAAATATGTTCTTTAAAATATTTTTATTTATTTAAAAAAAAATATCTATTCAATTATTTATTTTATTACTACGGTTTTCAGTGACATTTTTCCACCATTTACAAAATTCGATCTTATACCCAGCAATCATGTGGAAGCTATATGAGCCGACTATAAATTAATGTATTCTACGTTACCAAATGATTTGAAAAAGTGTTTTATTTCTTTAATAAAAAATAAATGTTGCTTTCATAAAAATCAACAACACAAGCAAGGGAAAAAGCAGTTAAATACCCACCACCATTTAAAAGAAAATTCCAAATTTTCAAAAAAAAAAAACTTTGAAAAATACTGTTAAAATCATAAAAATAGGAAGTTACCATTATATTAGCAGCATAGTACACTTTTGGTTGCAGACTGTGGTATCCGTTAGGAACTTCAATTAAAAAATTTAAGAAACTATTCTGGTAAATAATGTCACTAAAATCATAAAAATACCGAAGTAATGGACCTAAATATGCAATTTTCTGTCATAGGCTGTAGTACTCATTAGGAAATTCAAATAAGAAATTTGAAATAATTCCGGTGAATAATGTTGCTAAAATCAATAAAATACCGAATATCTGGAGGTATAGTTATATGGGGGCCTACACGAAGACGTGGACCTGTATGATCAATTTTCGGTCACGGACTACAGCACCCATTACGAACTTCCAATACGAAGTTTGAAACAATTCCCATGAAAATTACTCTAAATTCATCAAAATACCGAATATCTGGAAGCACAGTTATATGGGGGCTATGCGACCAAATTTCGGTCACAGACTGTAGCACCCATAACAAACTTCAAATACGAGATTTGAAACAATTCCGTGGGAAATGTCGATAATATTATCAAAATACCGCATAGAGAGGTACCGATATATTTGGGCTATACGAATATGTGGACCTGCATGACAATTTTCAGTCACAGATAGTTGAACCCACTAGGAACTTCAAATAATAAATTTACAATAGTTCTGGTGAATAACATCACTAAAAAATACGAAATTTGAAACAATTCCGGTGAAAAATGTCGATTATATCATCAAAATACAGAATAGAGGGAGGTACCGTTATAAGGGGACAATACGAACTTGTGGACCTGTAAAGGAAATTTTCTGCAACAGATGGTAGTACCAATTAACAACTTCAGAGAATGGCATTTAAAATAATTTTGGTGAATTATATCGCTTAAATATCCAAAATACCAAATATAGAGAGGCACCGTTATACGAGGGCTATATGAAGACCTGCACCCACTACAAACCTCAAATACGAAATTTTAAACAATTCCGGTGAAAAAAGTCGCTAAAATCATCAAAATACCGAATATCTGGAGGTACAGTTATATGGTGGCTATACAAAGATGTGGACCTGTATTTTTTGTAATT